TTCTTCCTTCTCTTCCTTTTCTTCTTCCTCTTTTTCCTCCTCTTCTTCCTCTCTTCCCCTTCCTTCTTTTACCCCTTCCTTCACTCTCTCCCTCATACTTTCAATTTCCTCTCATCATCCTTCTCCTCACCCCATCATTCTCTCTTCCTGCTTCTCTACATCCATCATCTTCCTCCCCCCCCCCTCCCCATTCTCTCTTTCTCCTAACCTATCAATGTACTTGTACTGATTGGGATGATGAGGGGGGGGGGAGGGGGAGGGAGGGGAGTGTGTGGGGGAAGGGAGGTTGGCGAATGTAAGCATGTAATCGATCATGGTGCTGTGAGGTAGAGATAACCTAACCTAACCAAACCTAACCTAACCTAACCAAACCTAACCTAACCTAACCAAACCTAACCTAACCAAACCTAACCAAACCTAACCTAACCTAACCTAACCTAACCTAACCTAACCTAACCTAACCTAACCTAACCTAACCAAACCTAACCTAATCTAATCTTACATAACGGGTTTGATCCCCGGGCAGGGTGAAACTATGGACAAGTTTCTTTACGCCATTTGCCTCTGTCTATCCAGCAGTAATTGGGAACCTGGATGTTATTCGCTTTGTTGATCTTGTTCCGGGGTAATGGTTAGCCAGTGCTGTTGGCGAGTTGTCCGGTCTTCTCGGACTATTTCTTGATACTGGGTGATGGTGCTGTGATGGCGACAGCTTCTACACCTTAAACTAATTCAGGTCTCTGTGTCCTTCGGGCCGGCCATACTCCAACACGAGGGACACACATTAAAATTAAACGTGTGTGTGTGTGTGTAGTGTAGTGTAGTGTAGTGTGTATTTGTGTGTGTATGAATATATAAGTTTTTATTAGTGTATGTACCCGCCCCACCACCCACACAACCCCCCACACAAAGTAAACAAACTCCGAGTAACGCGGTGCATTGTGGGTTAGTGAATGGGTGGTGAGGTAAAGCCTTGATTAAGTTGATGTCAACACAGCGTCTCTATGAGTGAGGCAAACTGCTTTGTTCAAGTCTCTATTGAAGAAAATACTCAAGGAATTATTACAACCAGATTAGGGAGGGTTACTAATACTAATAGCCCCCCAGTGTGGTGGAGGAGGAGGAGGAGGAGGAAGAGATGGAGGAGGGGAGTAATACTCGAAAGAGGAGGTGGAGGAGGCTGGAGTACTTTTACTGTGTGTGACACCTCCCTCCGTCCCTCCCTCCATCCTTCCCTTCCTCCCTCCCGTCCCTCCCTCCCTTCCTCCCCGCCCGCCCGCCCGCCCCTCCCTCTGTAAACAAGAGATGACGTCACAGTGTTGCATTGTGTGTGTGTGTGTGTGTGTGTGTGAGATGATCTGGTTGTGGCATACGCCTTCCTCCTCCTCCTTCCCTTCCTCTCCCTCCTCTTCCCCCTCTTCTTTCTTCTCTACATCTTGCTTTTCCTCCTCTTTCTCCTCCTATTGCTCCTTCTCCTCCTATTCCTCTAACTTTACGAGGAGAAGGAGGAGGTAAGAGGAAAAAAAAGCGAGTTGTTCTCTGTTATATTTTTCCCTGAAGGTAATTTCTTTTCTTTCTCTCTCAATTTTTTTCTTGGGGGGAGGGAAGAGGGTAGGAGAGGGGTGGGGGGGGGGGTAAGGGAGGGGAGGGAGAGTGAGAGGAGAGGGAGGAAGTAAGGAGAAGTCGTTTGGGGAAGGTTTATTTTATGGACGACGTGGACTTTTGTGTGTGTGTGTGTGTGTGTGTGTGTGTGTGTGTGTGTGTGTGTGTGTGTGTGTGTGTGTGTGTGTGTGTGTGTGAGAACCTATAAGGAAAATTTAACGTAGGAACCTTTGAAAAACCATCTTTGTGTCGTAGCTTAAGTGAGTCAGTTAGATACGTTCTCACATCACCATTTAGGAGGAAAATTTAACGTAGGAACCCTTGAGAATTCCAGTGAAGTTGGTCTTAGAGGCAAGTGGTTTAGGGCGAGACAAATGTTGTGTGTTCCTCCCTCCTTCCCTGCCTCCCTCTTATTGCACCCCCTCCCCCCCCTCCTTGTTTCCCTCCCACCTCCTCCTTTCCCTCCCTTCTTCCCTTACTCCCTCTGTTACTGAATGAGTAAAATGTGAGAAAAAATAAAATGAGAGAGGAAGGGAGGGAAGGAGAGAGAGAGAGAGAGAGAGAGAGAGAGAGAGAGAGAGAGATAGATAGAGAGAGAGAGAGAGAGAGAGAGAGAGAGAGAGAGAGAGAGAGAGAGAGAGAGAGAGATTTAGCCTATAATTTACGACTTCCATTTGAAAGTTTTGAAGAAAGTTGTGAGAAAAAATAACACAAACTTTCTTTTTTAATGGATCTGTTGTCTCTTAAGATAACAGAAAGAGAGAGAGAGAGAGAGAGAGAGAGAGAGAGAGATGAGTAACGAAGAAGGTGAGACAGTGCAGAGAGAGGTGAAGTGTGTGAGAGGTGAGGTGTGAGGGAGGTGAGGTGAGGGAGGTGAGGTGTGAGGGAGGTACGACTCTCCCTGGCGGCGGAAAGGCAGATGGTGTGCTTAACAAGATCACGACGTCCTTAGGGCGAGAGGGAGTGAGACGGGAAAGAGGAAGTAAGAGGGGAGAGAGGGAGATAAGAAAAGGACATAAAGAGTGAAGGAGAAAGAGAGAGAGAAAGAAGGGATGAGAGAGAGAGAGAGAGAGAGAGAGAGAGAGAGAGAGAGAGAGAGAGAGAGAGAGAGAGAGAGAGAGAGAGAGGAAACGTTGAGTGAGAGTGGGTGGTAGTCATAGTAACGCAACCTACCACTACCGCCACCACCACCACCACCACCCACTTACTTACTTTGCTGTCACTCGGTATGACGATCATCCAGCTATGATACAATGATATGAGTTATTAGGGATGTCTCCTTCGTTGGTGAGCTCTGAGATGACTAAAGAGGCCGATACGGGATCGCAGAGTCGTTCACAGATGTTGCACATGTGGGGGGCTACATCTAGTGCGGGAGGGGCGGCGGCAGCGTCTTTCCGACGTTGGCGCTTGTCTGCCTCGGTTTGCAGTCGGGCTAACTCTAAAGTGTTGACACTTTCTCGTGTGGTGCTCCCCCAAGCGTTACGATGTGGAGTAATCGTCTCCCAGGTGAGGGGGTCGATTTGGCACTTTTCAGGTTTGTCTTAAGACTATCCTTATACCTTTTCAGTTGCCCGCCAGCGTTACGTTTATTATTCGTTAGGTGACTGTAAAGTAGCTGCTTTGGCAGTCTACTGTCGTCCATGCGGGTAACATGGCCAGTCCAACGTACTTGTTCATGGATAATGGTAGCCTCGATGTTCTTCCAGTTGGTGTCAGCGAGAATACTTGCATTTGTTCTCTTGTCTTCCCAGCGAACTCGGAGGATGGATCGAAGACTATGTTGGTGAAAGTTTTCAAATGTCTTGAGGTGCCTCCTGTATGTGATCCATGCCTCGCTGCTATATAGCAGGGTGGGGAGGACTACTGTAACTTTGTAGATAATTTCAGCTCCCTACAGTTTAAGACACGATTTCGGAGTCTGTCAAAGGCTTCAGATGCACATCTGATCCGATGCTGAATCTTTTCATCGATGTCTGCGGTGGTGGTCAGGTGGGAGCCGAGATACTGAAAGTGGGTAACATCAGAGAGGGTAGTACCGTTAAGCTGGAGGGATCGTGGAAGTGTGGCTGAACCAGGGGCAAGCTGAACGAGAATCTGAGTCTTATGTACATTTATCTCAAAGCCGAAGTGTGCATACGCATCTTTATAGGTAGTCAGGATCTCCTGTAGATCGCGTTCAGTGTGAGCGACAAGGGGTGAGGTCGTCTGCACACTGAAGTTCAGTAATGGAAGCTGCCGACACCTTTGTTCTTGCCTGGAGTCCATTTCTCCCTATGGTTCCCTGCCAAATGTCAGCATTTCTGTCAACTCTGGCATTGAAGTCACCAAGGAGCACAGCCTTATCTTCTCTGGGGATAAAGATTAACACTCTGTCGAGGTCGTCATAAAAGGCCTCCTTGGTATCATCCTCTACATCCAGTGTTGGGGCGTAGGCACTGATGAAGAAGGCATGACGTGAGTGATTCAGTGGGACTCGGGGCGCCATGAGGCGCTCGTTGATTCCATAGGCAGTTCAGTTAGCCTGTGAAGGATGCGTTGGCGGATGGCAAAGCCAACTCCATAAATACGGTTTCTCTCGGTTTCTCTCCTCAGCAGGCTTACCCTTCCAGAAGAAGGTACAGCCAGACCCCCGTTCTGTGAGTTGACCCTCGTCTGGGAGCCAGGACTCACTAATGGCTGCTATGTCGATGTTATACCTTGCCAGCTCTTTTGCCACAGGGGCAGTGCTTCTTTCAGGACGCTTATTTGTGCCAGTATCCAGAAGGGTCCTGACATTCCACGCAGTGACCATAAGAGGTTGTATAGTTTGTTTTTGTTTGGATCTGTGATTATGATTGCGTTTTCAACCGCATAAGGATGACCTTACTGCGTGCGGTTGCCCAGTCAGGCTTTGTTTAGGGCACCTTTTCTAGCCCCCTCCCAATGTGGGGTGTGCAGAGTGGCTCCTCGAAAAGGCTGTTCAGTCTCACAGACAGGACCGGATTGCACTGCTGCCAATATCCCAGTGCATAAACGACCATCTTATCTGTGCCGCCCATGTGGAGAGTTGTGACTAGAGACTCCCGGCGGTCATCTCTGCCTGTCCTCGTCACCACTCGTCCGTCGCCATAGGACTTTTACCACCACCCTCTTTGTGTAGGTCAGGTTAGGTAGAAATGTGTGCTGTTCTTGTGCTAAAATTTTATTAAATTCACCTTTTACATGTCAATTACGGGCTGTTTGTACCAAAAGTATAGACCAAGTTATTATACTTTATAAGTACACACAGACTTTCCACTGTGTGTGTGTGTGTGTGTGTGTGTGTGTGTGTGTGTGTGTGTGTGTGTGTTTACTGTATGTCCATGTAATAACCATAGCACGTGTAGAACTAACCATATCCTTCTTTCTCCCCCCTACAGGAGAGGTACGCCGGCTGCTCAACGAACACGCAGAAAACCAGCAATTCGTGTCTTCGCTGGAGTCCCAATTCTACCAGATCACTTACCCAGTTCAGCTTCAGCGGCATGGCAAGTCTCAGGGCATCTCCACACGTGACGCCAGCAAGATCACCGTGAGTACTATCTCGCTATCGTCTCGTTAATGTCTCTCTCTAATGTGTTTCTCTGGTGTTTGGCTCTTTCTTATCTCGTTAATGTCTCTTTATCGTCTCGCTGATGTTTTTGTCTCTATTTTCTCGCTGATGTTTCTCGTTAATGTCTCTCGCTGATGTGTTTCTCTGGTGTTTGGCTCTGTATTGTCTCGTTAATGTCTCTCGCTGATGTGTATGTCTCTTCAATGTCTCGCTGGTGTATTTGATCTCTTTATCGTCTCTCACTAATATCTCTCGCTCTTTCTCATCTCGTTAATATCTCTTGCTGATGTGTTAGTCTCTTTATTGTCTCATCAGTGTCTCTCGCTCTCGTTAATGTCTCGCTGTTTATCTTCAGCCTAATTTCTCTCGCTGATGTGGCTGTCTCTTTATTGTCTCGCTAATGTCTCTCAATTATCTCTCTTAAATATCTCTGTCTCCCCAGTGTTTCTTACGGGTTATATAGTTCAGAAGACAGAGAGACAGAAATTCTATATTAACATAAGTCTATCTCTTAGTCCTAGTTAAGAGAACATTCTCCCCACCACACCACTAGTTTCTCCCCACTACACCACCAGTTTCTCCCTACCACTACCAATTTCTCCCCACCACACCACTAGTTTCTCCCCACCACACCACCAGTTTCTCCCCACCACACCACCAGTTTCTCCCCACTACACCAGCAGTTTCTCCCCACCACTACCAGTTTCTCCCCACCACACCACCAGTTTCTCCCCACCACTCGTAAAACGTAGAGAACTTCCTTCCTCCGCTTGTGTGATCAATGAAAAATGGTCGAGGTACAAAGGCGTTGGTTGGCCCGTAACACAGTGGCCGGAAACAAGAGTAGTATCTCGCTAGAAAACGTCCGAGATTACAGTGCTCCCGGGCGAGGCATAACGTGTGAGTTATCGTACGGCTGGCAGGGGGGTGGGGTTGAGGGGGGAGGCTGCCTGGTTGAGTTATCATACAGCTGGTAGGAGGAGTAGGAACCTGGCATGGTGTAGGAGGAGGCCGGCTCTTTGATTTATCATACGGCTGGCAGGAGGGAGAGGTGGGGCAGTGTTGGGGGTGCAGCAGTGCAGGAAAAGGCCACCTCGTTGAGTTACCGTACGGCTGGTAAGAGAGGGAGAAGAGGTTGAGGGCAAGGGTGGGGGTGCACTGTCGTAGGGGGTGACCGTCTCGTAGAGTTATCGTATGGCTGCCAGGAGGAAGGTAGATAAGAGGAAGGGTTTGTGAGGGTGAGTAGGAGGGAGTTATCTTTCGAGGAGGAGAAGACCGCCTAAAGTTATCATACAACTAGTAATGGAGGACATGAGTGGGGGAGGAGGGAAGGGGGTCACTGATAGCCTCGTCGTTAACATACACAGGCTCTTAAGTTAACGTACTCTGGTTATATTTTGTCTTCATTTATTAGTTTTCTTCATATATAAACCCACGTTATCAGTCGCCCTAAACTACCTCTTTGGGCCGTGAGTGGTGAGAATATATTAACAAGACGAGAAAGGTAATAACAAGAATACGTGAGGTAATCTGGATGTTGGCAGCTCGGTGCAACAGCTGATAGGGGTGTGGGTATACGACAACTGGGTCATGTAAACAACCGTAGGATTGTAATGACGCGGATCACCTGAAGAAAGACATCCCAGCTTATTCCGCCTTAAGATTAGACACCCCAGCTTATTTTAGACATCCCAGCTTATTTCGCCTGAAGATTAGACACCACAGCTTATTGCACCAGAAGCTTAGACATACAGAACCAACTTATTTAACCTGAAGAGTAGACGCCTCAGCTTATATCACCTGATGATTAATTACCCTTATGCTACCTGGGAGGGTTAGGTGTGTGGGGTGGGGGTGGACGTATCCGAGTGAGAGGGGGGGATGGGGGTTTCCGAGTGTGTTGGGGGGCTGAGTGCATTAAAAGAGAGGTTTCTAAGTGCGTTGAGAGGAAATTTCCGAGTGTGTTGATAAGATAAGGTAACCTAATTCTACCCCCTCCTCCTCACCTCTCTCTCTCTCTCTCTCTCTCTCTCTCTCTCTCTCTCTCTCTCTCTCTCTCTCTCTCTCTCTCTCAACTCCTACCCTCTCCCTCCTCTCCTCCAATAAGAAGGGAGATGAGAGGGAAGCCGATAAGAGGGGAGATAGAGAGGGGAAGCCGATAAGAGAGGAGATAGAGAAGGGAAGCCGATAAGAGGGGAGCCGATAAGAGGGTAGATAGAGAAGGGAGATGAGAGGAAGACCGATAAGAAGAGGAAGAGGAGAAAATTGAATGAGGGGAGAAAGAGACGTAAGTAAATAAATATGGAAGAAGGGAAAATAAGGGAAAGAATCGAAAAATAAGTGAAAGAATAGGAAAATGAGAGGAGAAAAGGGGTAAAATAGGAAAAGGAATAGATAAAAAAATAGGGAAATAAGTGAAGGAATAGGAAAAAAATGGTATATATTCAGTTTTGGGGGAAATTGTCAGCAAAGATTAATTCATTGAGGAAAATATGGTTCGTCATCACAGACTCTGGAAGGAAGAGAAGAGTCAGCACTGAGTAACAAAGAAGAAGAAGAAAGAAGAAGAAGAAGAAGAAGAAGAAGAAGAAGAAGAAGATAGATGAAGACAGAAGCAAGATGGTGACTTATAGAGGAGAGTTGGACACTGATTGTGATGTGTGGGGGGGTCAGGTGAAGTGACATAGATAGATAGATAGATAGTGAGACAGACAGACAGACAGACAGACAGACAGACAGACAGTTTCACGAATAATACACTGGTTGGTGATGATGACTGGCAAATCAGTTGACCAAACAGCTGAAATTATTCGATAATTTGTCAACAAAACCAACAAATGACGTGATTGGCTGTCATGAGAGAGCTTGTTTCTGATTGGCCGGTTGACTGGTGGCCGCAGTTAATGAGTAATTAATACACTGACAGATTGGCTGATTGGTCGACTGATATGTTAATGATTCGGTAAATGAGAAAACGGGGGATAATAAATCTCTCTCTCTCTCTCTCTCTCTCTCTCTCTCTCTCTCTCTCTCTCTCTCTCTCTCTCTCTCTCTCTCTCTCTCTCTCTCTCTCTCTCTCTCTCTCTCTCTCTCTAACATACAGCAAGAGTTCATTTTCAGTAAAGAGGTCAACACCATTCATCTCTACCGTGTGTGTAATAATAATAATAATAATAATAATTAACGGTTTATTGAAAGAGCTTGGCAGCCAGAAGGCTGAAAATATACAGTTACATATTTGGGGAATGGGTTACGAATTACAAATAATATACAAGTGACATAAGTGACACAAATAAGACATATAGTAACTTAGATGGGGATCAGCTCAAAATACAGTTCATTTCAACATAGTGACAGTGTAGGGAGCAGTGTTTACTGGGAGTGAATACACTGATTTATTACATGTTATTGATAATTTTTACAATGGTTGGGACTGGGCTGTTCTTATAGCGATCAGTTCGTGCACGTATGGGCTGGATGCGGTTGTGGTGTCGAACAGCAATTCTCGGACAGGGGATCTCAGGTGGTAGTAGGGGCCGGTGTCGGGGATGGTGTAGAAGCTTCTTACCAAATTTGCAGATGAGGCCGTGGTGATGGTCAGTGAGAGTCGAAAGGGTCAGTGTGTTGAGCGCTTCTTGATATGTGGAGTAGGAAGGGGAGAGAATAATCTTGCATGCCCTCTTTTGCACTTTTTCTAGGTGTTTACGTTGTGTGGCATTTAGGGAGGAAGACCAGGTGGGGGAGGCATAGGTGAGCTTGGGAAGTATGAATGTTGTGTATACACTGAGGAGCTCGTGTGCGGGAACTCCGAGGGACTTGAGTCGGCGGAGGAGGTGGAGACGGAAACTGGAGGATTTGACAACTTCACTGACGTGTGGTTTCCAATTTAGTTTGTTGTCTATGGTGACGCCGAGGAGCTTCGTGGAATCTACAACCTGGAGTGTGTTCGGACCTAGGGTAATGGAAGGAGGTGGGACAATGTCGGAGGAGAGGTTGATGTGCATAACCATTGTCTTGGTATGGTTGATGGTGACATGGTTGTTGGTGGCCCAGTTTTGGAGACTGTTCAATAAATCCTGAAGGGCGGTATAGTTGGGAGCGGAATTGTTGACGCTGATCCCAATGGTGGAGTCGTCGACATATTTCCAGCGAGCAGGGGCTTCTCTTAGGGCATCATTGATGAGCATAAGGAAGCAGAGTGGTCCCATCTTGGTGCCTTGGGGGACGCCACAGGTGAGTGACTGAAAGGTGGAGACAGCCCCTCGGAAGCGTACAGCTTGGCGTCGGTCACTGAGGAAGTCTGTAAGCCATGGTATGAGACTTCTCCGAAGCCCGAGGTCAATAGCTTTGTTTATGATTATATTGTGGTCGACTAGGTCGAACGCTTTAGTGAAATCAATGAAGGCGACAGCTACAGACGTTTTTCGTTTCTCGAGATGGCGGTATATGTAATCGAGAAAGCTGACAAGACAGTGAGTGGTGGAGGAAGTTTTCATGTTGCCAAATTGCTGAGGGTCTACGACTCCTGCAATATCAGCATAAGCCCAGTCAAACACAAAACTTTCACAGATTAGGCTGGGTATTGGGGTGATTGCAATAGGTCGTAGCTGATTTAAGGATTGTGGGCTGGTTGACTTGGGCACTGGTGATACATAAGAGGTCTTCCAGTCAGCTGGGCATCTGGCTTGACTGAGAGAAGCATTGATGATGGAGCAGAGGGGTTTAGCAAGCTCCGGGGAGAACTCCTTGAATAGTTTCATTGGTAAGTCAATGGGGGTGGTAGAGCGTTTTAATTTTAGTTTGTCCAGGCGTTTTGCTACGTCAAATTCCTCTACTAAGTCAGTGGGAAGGGGGGCTGGTAGGTAAGCAGGGAGTGTGGTTGTGTGTGTGTGTGTGTGTGTGTGTGTGTGTGTGTGTGTGTGTGTGTGTGTGTGTGTGTGTGTGTGTGTGTGTTTTACCTGCAACAGATCTAAATAATT